GGGGCGGCCGAGGGTGGAGCGCTTCATGTGCCCGCGGCGGAGGACGTGTGATAACGGCTGCGGTAAGGCCACAGGTCCGCCGGCCGGTTTTCGTGCGCGGCCTCCGCTGGACCCCGCCCCGCCCCGCGTCGCCCGCGGCGGGAGAGCACTTACCCTCGGCCCCGGTGCCCCGGCCTGCCCCGGTCGTAAACCAGCATTGGCGTATAATTCCCCCTCCCTCCCTTTCCCAATTCCACTCCAGCGCGTGGCAGCCACAAGGGACCCACCAGCGCGCCCCGCCACGCACGCCCGCGCGCACACACACACACACACACACACACACCAGTGTCTACGTGTGTCCGTGCGTGAGATTGTGCCCTGTGTCGGCGCTCTGTTTTGTGTGTTGTGTTGTGCGCGTGGGGTTTGGTGCCTCACGCACACACCAACTAGCCGCGTGGGAGCTTCACTAGCGGGGCCGGGGCTTAGGTGCGAAGCAGTGCGCTAAGCCCGCGAGTATGACGCCTAATGCCTTTGCAACAACAACTAACTATACATCGTTGTGGTGCTCGCGTTACCAACCAAGAAAGTTTTGAAAATTAAATGGCGACAGTAAGTTTTTGGGGGGTTTAGACTTTTCACATCGTGGTAAAAATATAGAATGGTGGTAGTTTGGGGGTGCGGTGCGGCGGGTGCGGAGCGGGTCGTGGGACCCGGCTGCGGCCGCACCCAGCTGTGCCATAGTGCTGTTCTGTCGGGTCGCCCTCCCATACTCATTTCACAAGTGGAAGGTCGGGGGTTGGGCCCGGAGCATGATAAGATAGAGGGCCCGCCACGCCCCACCCCGCCCGGATGGCTGATGCTGATGCTGCGTCATGGACCACGCCTCTGAGTGCGGCACACAGCAGTACAGCGTGTCGGCCTTTGTGCCCTAGCTTGTAGAGACGCCGGAGCCGCGGCCGCTTCGAGTGGGCCCGCGGGGCCTGGCCCCGGACCAGGGCGGCGAGGGCGCAGCGAGGGCACGGCGCCAAGGAAAAGTAAGGGGGGGGGGGGAATGATTCAAAAACACAACAGGAGGTGGAGCGTATATAAAAGTTGGCCTCGTCAACTTTTATACAGCCACCAAAAACATCTGGTATAGCGAGAAAAGTTGGAGGAATCAATTATTTTTGATTAAGTCCGGTAAGTGCACGGGCGCGCGCGTGTGAGAGTACGTAAGTGTGTGAGTCTGTGTATGTATGTATGTATGTGTGTGTGTGTGCGTGTGTGTGTGCGAGCGTGAGCACGCACGCCTGCTGTTAGCACAGGCTGTGGGGGGCTAAAGGGCTACAGAGAGCACATACGGTAGGTGCAGGCAGGGTCGGAGGGAGAGATTGAGAGAGCAGGAGGGCGGGAGGAGGAGGAAGAGAGG